AATTGTAATTTTTAAAATATAAAATATAAATATTAAGAGAGTAAATAAGAGCGAGAGAATGCCATGCGAATATTACATCCAGACATTACATATTACATTTAGTCATCGTTACATATTACCTGTTACATTTAGCGTCGTTACACTTAGCCCTCAAATTATCCATTTTACTTGGCCAGCACCTTGTTAATTAAAAATTGCGGTGCGCCTCATCGCCTCGGTTTGACCGCGTGTAATTATTGTCGGCGCGTGTAACGTGTGCGCGGCGCGTGTGCGATAATTGGTCAGCTGCTTGCCCGTCGACGGAAAGTCCGTTGTGCATCCATAAATTCTCCGACCGCGCGCTCGCCGTAGTAGAATAACGCCGACCTACTTATAAAACTGACTACTTTCACTTGCGAGGACGAGGTCGGCACGGATGCACAGGCGGAACGAATTTCCGAATAACATACCTCCCACTCTCTCGCGTCCCGGTACTTCATTCTTTAAAAAAATCCAGTTTTTATCCTCATTTTCGTTATTTTTACGGCAACTTTCGCGTCTTGTTGTTTTGCTGGCGCAGAAAGATACGATGGCTCATTAATCGTTGCGATATACGCGTAATATAAAAATCATCGTTCTCACTTATCGACAGTGTCGTGTTTTTATTGAACATCACTAAATTACAGAATGCTTTTCATGCACAAAATTAAATCGTGGAATAATTAAACAAAGAGGACATTAAATTTCTTGAATATAATTTTGTAGAGTGATGTATAACTAATTTTTAATATATCGCGATGCATATCTCTCTATTAACAATTATCTATAATATATAATCGACATATTGATATATATATATATATATATATTATTACTATGGTCATTATACATATGTGATGTGTGATCGGCATAATTATAATGTTTTTTTCGTTTTTTGTACTCTTGCTATTTCATGCATAAAGTCACGAATTTGCATAATGTGTAAATATTAACGCTATAAATCAACGAGCGCAAAATTGATCGCGTGTGTGGCTGTAAGTGGTTTTTCAGGCTTCCTAGACGGTCATTAACAATCGATGGTCGTACAATCCTTCTTTCTCACAGCGCTAAATATCTCACGAAGACCGTTTCTTTTTGCCACGTCATCTGCTTCTGCGTTCATCTGCGTTCTGTTAATATGTAAAAGAAAAGAGACATATTTTTTCTTATATTGTTTTACAAATATATTGATCAGCAATACGGAATTGAAGTGCGTCATTTACCTAGTAGCCAAGTTCCACAGGATATTCTGCAAAATGTTGGATTGCGGTTCGCCGCCAGCCAGAATCAATTCACATATTGATCGATCTTCACAGACGGCTGCTGATTGTTCGTCGAGCGAGCGTGCCTGCTTATGCTCGATTGGCAGGTCGGCGACCCGAAGTTTCGAAAGGACGATGCTCGGCTGACTGGAATGAAATCTGTTTCTGATTAAAAAAATATGAGCGAGTAGATACAAAAAGAGGCGACTCACGTTGTCGTGTTGTTGTCGACCCGCACAACCTTGGGCGTCAGCGCTAACAGCAGACCCAGTGGCAAAAAAGTACTGATCAGGTGAATGATCTTCTTCCAAGGAGACATACTGCAAATGATATATTTTTGTTTTATATGTATTTAAAATTCAATCTTATTAATGGCAGAAGCCATTAGATACAAATGTAACATTGCTTCATTAATTCCCTAAAATATTCTGTTCATTTGATCGCCGCGTTGAAAACCCACCTTCTCATTTGCGGATAACCCATCGTCGAGTGTGGCGCTTCCACGTATTGTATATCGTGATACTCTTCACCCGGTTGATAAAACGTGTACGGGAATTTACGTTTCCTCGTGTAAGTGGACTGCTGAACAACCAAGACGCCGTTACTCTCGGGCTTCTTTATCATCTCGAGTGTGGTCTCTTGCATCGGCTGATGAACGTTCTGATTTTGACTGGAGTAATAATTGATGACGTACGGAGGAGATCTCGAGAGGTCGAAGTAAGCACCAGTCGATCGATGATCCGTCATTGATTTACCGAAGATCGTCAATGTGTCCTGCGGCTTCTTCAAGACGTTTTGGAAAAACGTCTGATCGAGGAACACGTGTCCTACAGTAACCTCTTCGAGCGGCGACCCCGAAACGGTCTCTGTAACTTCTTGCTGATCGTTGAAGGGATGATGGATACTCGACGGTATCTGAATATCATCTTGGAACTTAATTCTGCTCGGTCGCGTCGCTTCATCTATCAGACTGGAGACACCTTGATACGTGTTCTGCAGGGCATTCTGGGACCGCTCATGCTGCGCGTCCAGATGAATACTGTTCTCGAATCTCACGTGTTGCACGTTGTTGAAGGGATTCTTTCGACTCTTGGGCTGCTCGATTTCGCCTAAGTGTATACTGGGTCTGAAGACGTTGGAACTGTTTTGGGAGAGAGTCTCGAAGACGATTGGCGATGTTGATTTCTGACTATTATTGGCGACTGATGTAGGCGTCGTCGTTTCCTGATCCGAATACCGATCCCCAAGGGAAGTTTCCTTAAAGGAGACCTTTTCGCATATGACTTCAGATATTTCAGCGGTCCACGCGTATATAAATACGGCGAGCAAAAGACGTTCGGAGATCTTATGCAACCGCATGTTTGTCGATTAAGTCAACGGTCAGTGCAAATGGAGTCACGATGACGAACGACTATTGAAGACAGCTGTTTCCATTGCGAGAAACCCGCAACTGAAGGATTCAGTACGACATACTGTGACTTTAACTCACGAAGGCAAGAGTTACCTTAATGCGGGCGCTAAAAAGCGTGAATGTGGGAACAGTGTGCCTTAATCATTGTCCGTACTCCAATTGTCGTCGACAAAGTAAGTGTTGCGATCTTTAGTTCCAGCAGATTTCATCATGGTACACGGTGCATCATGCCGTAAATGCACATGTCGCGACGATGAGATAGATATTTTCGAAAACAATTTCACATAAAATTAATTATTAATCAAAGAGAGAAAGAAGTAAAATATTTATTATTATCTTTCGCTTCTGTTCTTCTCGTCTTATTTTTAATTTTACTTCTGTTTCAGATTTTATATTTATCAATATCATTCATATACCGGAAAAAGTAATAAATTTATTACACTCGCAAAATCAAATTAAAGTCTGTGACTTTTATTTCATTAAATATTGTAGAAAGGAACAACTCACAAACGCAAATAACTCTGAATTATTTATTGAAAAATTGAATCTTTTTTACCGAGATATACATATGCTACATTTTGATTTCACTATTTTATAAAAAAAGATTCAGATCAGATGAAAGCAAGTGAAACGTTTAATGGATTGCTAAATTGCGTAATTAAGATAGAAGACATTCCTTGCTTCAGAGATACTCGTCGAGTACAAGTGTAATGAGCGGAAGGGGTGAAAAGACTTTCTAAGCCAAGTTTTATCGCCGAGCGGTGAGAGTCTGACCCTGTTTCACGGCGAGGTCATTTCAATATGTTCTATATATACACGCGATATATCTTAGAACTTGTTTTACAAAGAAAGAGACAATTTTTATATAATCCTTCTTATATAAACATTTAAGCCTCCCTTTTAAATATTTTTTGTGTAAACTTATTTCGGATTCATATAAAATAGAATTGGAATCTATGATTCATCAATTATTGAGGACCTGCTAAAAACAAAAGCAATCATTATCGGTGAGAGACGGCAACCAAACAAAAAGGAGAATTCACATGAAACACGAACAATTTAAAGAAAGTAATAATTTCGATAATATAGCTTATTGCTTTTTTTATAATTTTTCATAAGTAAAAATTATGTTAAAATTATGTTTATATTTCGAATTCGTGTCATTTTCTCTGCGAATTATATATCTGCTTTTCTTGAAACTTTCTGTTATCACGCGAGTTTTCAACATCTAGGCTAGATTTTATCTAGGTACCCTTTTCACCCCTTCCACTTCTTTCCATATCGTTCTCGGCATCGCGACTCTCCCTCTGGTATGACCGACAATGAAAATAGACGTCTGCCGCACTCGCACGAACCATTCTTCCTTTTTTCCACCACCATCGCAGTCGTTTTCGCGGTTAGCTACGTCTAAACCGACCCAATTCCGGTTTTGAGTAGGCCACGCTAACCACGCCGTAACCGGAATTGGAGGTAAGAAAAATCCATCTCGCACGCCTTGCAATTCCGAAAATGCACGACCTTATCTTCACAATAAAAGAGACAAGATCTGTTTTATCTGGTTATTCATATTCTGTAACATAAAAAAAAACGATTTGCTATTATCGAGCAGCTGTTAAATAAAGTTACGAGTTTTACTGTCACAAATATTTCAAAAAGCAATACTTTAAATTAATAATAAACTTCAAGAAAAATAAAAAATAGAAATAAAAATTGCTTAAAGTGATGCAACGTATAGATACGTTTTGTTAATTTTTTTGTGGAATGATAAGAGAGCGATAATGCACTGCGAAAATTGAAGGAAACGAGTAACCGCCGATAGAGACGGGAAATGAAATCGTCCGTTTCTGGGTCGTCGCTGGGCAAAAAATCCTAGATCGGTGAAAATCCGGCAGAAGAATCGGAAGCTGCTCGTAAAACGGAAATTGTTCAGATGAATTTCACTCGCGCGACGAGCAAGAATCATCATAAATGAGAAAGGGGTAAGGGTAGGGGCGGGAAGAAGGGGGGAGGAAGGGGGCAGGAGGAATAAAAACGACGGAGGTTTCTGGGCCGCGAAAGCGCAAAAATCGGTAAACGACCGATTCTACGTTTGTTTGCCCGATACCCGATCCTGTACGCATCTGCATCGAAGAAGGCCAAATCGACAATTTGTCGAAGCATGAAAATCAACGACGGCCTTCTTTGTTCTTTGCAATGTCCTTAATTGTGCGACCATTCGATCAGAAATTCCATTTCCTCTACGATTGCGGTATGTGTGCATTTAATTCGTAAAGATATGTATAATAAAGAGAGCAAATAAATCATGTATGTTAAATAAATAATTCTCTATTTGCTCTAATCACGATAATATTGATGTATGTTACTTGCATCATCTGTTAAAAGATATTATTACGTTAGAATTATTTAATAATTAATAGTAGCAATAAGATTTGTATATTTTTCCCATATGAAACTAATTTTTAATTATTATAATATATAATATTATTTTAACTCCCTCTCATATAAATTTAGTATATATGTATATTTATAGTTAATTGTGCGGGGGAAATACATATATAATTTCGATGTAATTAAGGAAATAAAAAAATCATTATGGTAAATCATTTATGGTAAGATTGGACATATCAATATCAATTATATTATTTTTGACGCTCGTTTTTATAATAAATAGAGAAAAAAATAATCACATACAAAATTATAAACATGTCAAAAAAGCTAAAAAGAGAGAAGGTGAAAAGCATATTTCTTTTAATACTTTACTCGCAATTCTGTTTGAGTCTCTATCGTGGCAATTGATAATAACAAATAAGGTAAGAAATCGGTCTCGAAAGGACTGACACGACCCGAGAGTTCCTCCCGCATGCCCGATCTCTCTAAGGCAACCGAAACTATAAAGCCGCGCTTTGAAGAGGCCGGCGACCAGAAGAGAGAGCACAACTCATGGCCATGGAACGTCAGTTTCTGCCATGTTTAAACGGTGAAAGTAGCATTTTGACAAAACATAAAATCCGCGTGAAAATGACACTGTCATCCATCCGGAGTCGGCCAGCCGGACCGCGATGGAGCGATGGATGCGGCGCTCGCTCGTCGTGTCGTCACCCGGGCTGATTGTCACGAGCGCGCTGTAATTAGCGCGTGACGAGCGGTCTGGGTCTGTTTCTTATCATTCTATTGCCTTTCGTCGTCGCCTTCAGACGTTAGTCGGGAGAGGACGGCAATCAATGATCAATACATAAGAATTATTAGCGATTGACTTGATTTTCTCTGTCAATTACGACTTTATTATATCTTCTTTATCTTGATAACCGTTCGCGCTACCGAGACGATAGAAATAATCCCGATGATGGCGATTAAACCATCTCGAGATCGAAGAACGTTTAAAAACACGATTGTTTCGTCTTATTCGAATGCATTCAGTCGTGTTTCGAATTAGCGGCTAGATTTTTGCGATGTTGTAAGTGTGCCTGATTAGAGATACCGATAAGTGAGAAAGCGCATTGTAAATAACTTGTCGAAATGATTGTTTTAGCATATGGGCGGATTGATCGAGGAGATTCGTTTATAATAGTAATAGAAGTGTTTCGAGGGGAGAAAACAGAGAATTGATTGAGAAGTTTATCCGTGACCGAAATAAATTCACAATTTGAATTCAAAGCCATATTTTTAAAAAGTATTAAATGTATGTGCGTGTAGTGTTTTCAATTATATCAATATATTTCAATATATTATTGTCACGAGTGCAATATATTTGGCTGAAAAAGTAATCGAAAAATTATTACACAGATGACGACTACTTATATTCATCTTTCATAAAAATTCATTACATGTTATATTTTATAATTCTAAGATCTCACACACTGAATAAAAAAATAGTTTGTTAAAATCTAAGCATTTCATAATATTTGAAATATAAACAAAATTAGAAAGATATTTCTACCTTGGGTTGGAAGAACTTTCCTTCTCCATTATTTTATTCCAGTCATTCAATATACTCGTTACTTCTACAAAAATTCACGGATAGAAGTCAAATATTTCAAAGTAAATAAATAAATCCTTGAGTAAAAATAGGAAGGAAATATTCTGCATCTACTTGATATCTGCACGAAGCTTAGAAAAGCGAACACTTTAGAAACCGCTATCTTGGTACCGTATAACATCCAACAGTACCTCGCGGGCGCGCACAAAAATATACAGGCATCATTCACTTGTCGGAGATCAGCGATGGTTCATCGATCGTAGCTGGCAACTGACCTCGCCTTCTATTGTGTCCATTGTATTCCAAGAACGTTCTCCAAGAGGAAAGACCTCTGAGGTATTATGGTAAAGCGAGATAGAGAGAGAGAGAGAGAAAAAGAGAGAGTCTCCGCGCGGGTGAGAAGGAGAGACAATACGGCGCCCGTTCTCCGAGTTGACCAAGTCGAGAAGTAAGGAACAGTGCATAACAGCAGGCCGCGAAGATCGGAGGAAGATGCAAAATGGACCAAGCATCGATCAAGTGGGGATCTGGATTAAAAGCAAACGAGGGCAACGTCTCGGCAACAGAGCCATCTCGGACCTTGAGGAGTCGAGGCCGCGTTGTACTCCACACTTCCGCTTTTCCGTCCGCATTCGTAACGTCGCTCTGTCGTCGTTGCCTATTGTTATCGTTGTTGTCGGCGTAGTTGATTTCTGTAACGGGTCTCCGAAGCGACAAGCGCCGCGGGCCTCGTTGTTCATGTAATTAAAGACGACTCGGACGGCTAATATCGACACGGTCAGTGCGACGCGCTGTGAACGCGGATTATCACTTAATAACATGATAAAGAGTAGAATCGAGTAGACAATGTGAATAATTACGGAGTGGAGCGTTTTGAGCCGAAGACTGGCAGTGATTTCGACAAATTTTCCAACCATTTTCTTAAGAATTCAACTCGACTAAATCATTGTGGTTTCTTCCTCCTATTCATCTCTCCATTTTTTAATTATCAGACATTTTGTCTGATGTCCCCTTTTTTGGAAGATAATATTCTTTTATAATTTTTGTAATTATTAATACATGCTATATATCACTTCTCTTTTTAATAAAAGATGAGTTTTTGTAATCTACATAAACAAAAATAAAATTAGCATATTATATTGTAAAACAAATTAAAAAAAGTTATTAGGATGTCGGGATAACTGATAAAAACGGAGACTTATTAATAAAATTCTATACGATTTATTATTACGCGAAATAAAAAATCTTCGTGTTTTAGAAATGACGCCGAGAGGAGCGTTTTATCTGCTCCTAACGATCTTGACGTTAGATGGATCGCAATGCAACACGAGATACTTCGTAAAAATGAGGACGAATGCATCCGAAATGTTTAAAACAAAGACCGACAATCTGCGGATTCTTCAAGACCCGATAGCGATCACGCCGAATTCCCTGTACGATAATTCCGGAAATGAGCATCAAATCGAGGACGAGAGGATGACCAAAGAAATATCGGGCAATCAGTTCAATCGGAGAAATTCCTTCGATGAGACATCGACTTTCAATCCAGATGTACTCAACAAGTTTCTCGAGGAATACGCGAATAAGATAAAGAGTACCACTGAAAAGAGCTTCAAGTATCCTTTTAGAATCATAAAACCACCTGTGGAGCCGCTCGTCCTCGAAATCGACAACGAAACCACCGAGACCACAATCATTCCTGAACAGAACGAAAAATTTGATCAAATTGCAAATGCTACTTCGGCAGAAAATGATGCGGTGAGGAAAATATATAAATTTTAAGTTATAATAAGACGGGCTACTTTTTTTTATTTAATAATTTTTTTCAGTTTTTTAATTCAAGCTTTCATAAAAAAAGAAATAAAACATTATATATTATTATTATAACTTGGAATTTATATTTTTTCCTCACCGCATAAATATAAATTCTAAATTATAATAATAATATATAATGTTTTATCTCGTTTTTATGAAAGCTTGAATAAAAAAAATTGAAAAAAAATGTTAAATAAAAAAAACAATACATTAGATTAAAGATATAATAATATTCTAGTTTAAAAAAGTTCCATTATAATTTATATTTATTTTTTTGAGAATATATTAACTGAAAATAGTACAAAAATAATAACATATGTAATATACGATTAATTTACAGCATATATAAAGTACATTTATATGAAATATAAATATCCTCTGTATATTTTTAATGTGTATTATATAATTTAGCATTGCGTAATAAAAAATACGTTGATGAATTTCCGGTTGTCTCTCCCGACTCTTAGTTAAGCGAGGCGCTAAACGACACCTTGAAGAGGAACAAATATTACGGTACAAATACTTACGAGGACAGGAACGGCTGGGTGACGTTAGAAGCAATTCCGTGGTCTAAGAGCAAAATTTCCAAGTGGCAGGCCAATCCCAGCACGCAACGACCTTGGCCAGAGATAAAGCCGTGGGATAAACCGAGCATGAAACCATGGGCCAGCGACCATACCATCAGACCCACTTATGAAAACAACAAACCGTGGTAAGTACCGCAACCGTCAATTTTCCTTTCACTATGCGACGCTATATACGAGTTTGAAAATAGGTTTCGTGCTCATTACGACGAGAGATATTTACTATTAGCGTTCACAATTGAAACTTTCTTTCTCGCGAGTTTATAGCGATATTTAATGATACAGCGATATATTTAGAAATATATCAAGAATAGTCTCGTAGATATTTGTATTCATTTTTCATTTCTGCGCTTCAATCCTTATTTACGCAGAAATTTACGCAAAAAGAAAACACAAATTAAGTTTTAACAAATAATTAAAAATAATCTTTAAAGATAATAATCTTATTAGACGACATCTGATTAAATCTACCTTTATCTGATTATCTACCTTTTGTGTTACACTGAAAATATTTTTCGACAAAGAATCAATTTCTAGTAAATGGTTAAATCCTTAGGTACGACAAACCGAAACCCAATTGGTCTGATAACAACGAGAACTCGTATCAGAAACCGATTTCCCGTCCTCCTTATCACTCCGACGACACGGCACAAAAGTGGCCATCGGAGAAACCATACTGGAACAAGTACGAAACCCATCGTCCAAACAGCGATATCATCACGGACGATAGACCGGCCAATTTCCCCAACACTTGGTCCAGGCCTCAGACGGCTTCGTATCAGTTTGTCGACAAATACACGGAGAAGGATCAATCGGGAGACGGGAGCGATTGGCACGATTATCCATCTAAATATGAGCAAGATCGACCTCGACCTACCCTAATCACCGAGAGACCAAACTTCTCGCATTACCAGTACACGAATAATCATCCATCGAATCATCCGGCGAGCGGCGACGGTCAATGGATCCTCCTGTCAACAAACCGCGGATATTCCAAGTCGAGGCAGAGATCAATCAAGATCGATACGGTAAACGTTCCGGAGACATTCAAGGCAACCAACATGACGAGTCGCGGGAACGGGAATAGATACAATAGACCTGCGATACCCGTGATGACTTCAAAACGCCAGGTTAGGCTAGATGATCAAAGAGAGGGAGAATAAAGTTTAATCTAATTTAGATTAAAATGTGTCTTTTCCCTTTCTATTTCACTTCGAATCATTTTTTAAGATTGATAAATATAATTTTCATCTGTTATTAATTAAAGTTTTATAGAAAGCTGCGATCAGTAATCGACATATAATTTTGCAATGTTAATTATTATTGATTTGGATTTTCTCTCTCATCAATAAAAGTGTTATTGATAGCCGCTTTATGAAAAATCGTTTACCTAGGTCAGATTGACGGTATTGCCATCGATCAACGGCACGAACACGACGACGTCCCACGGAGGCCTTCTGGAAGTCGAAAAGACGTTCAAGAGCAAGTTGCGTCGGATTTCGGTCTCTCTAAATTGTCGCTACTTACTTTTCCAGAATAATCAATCGTTCGATCAACCCCTAAGTCAAAGCTTTTATTCGACGCTAAAACAAACCTCGTTGAATTATTAGAAAGACCACCAAACAAAGCTCCGCCTGGTTTGTTTGAATTTCGAACGGCACCGATCTCTGTGATTTTGCCTAATACGTTCGTCCTCGAAAGACCCGAAGGTGCTTTAAATTCAGACGTCGTCCAGATGTCATCGATCTTAGAACGACGAGCGCTAAACGACGATCGTGTTGTCGGAGTGAAACCGTTCGCGCGTGAACCGATCGCGTTATGCTCGCGCAACGAATCGACATTATCGCGGAAATGTGTGATATACGACTTTCTATTACGTCCGGAAGTCCTCGTATACCTGCTATCGTCCCGAATTGTATCGTGCATCTTGTTCCGAGCTTGAACATCTTTCCATTCTGCATCGCTCCTTTCCACTTGTGTTGCCAAATTTATGTCGCCTTAAAAACAAAACAAACAATTTTTATCAAAATTTTTTAGAGAGAAGAATACTAAAAATAGTTTACAGTAAACATTATTGAGATAAATACGGGACACGCTACATAAACAAAGCTTACGACATTCTAATAATGTACTAATTACTTGCCAATTGCAATGAAACTACTAAGCCGTGGCAATTTCCAATTGCTGCAAGTTTAGATAAACACTTCCGTCTTAAGAAATTCAGTTTTGTAAGAAAAGCACTATGGGAACAGCATAGCGCACGACGAGCAATGACGTAATTGCGATAAGAAGGACAAGTTGCGATTCGACACGCTACAACAATATATAATTGAGACTATTGAGTAATTGCATGTTTAATACCTCGTATGCGTTTTCTCTGTAATGGAACGTTGAACGAAGCCCACTTTTTAAGAAATGATAGGACTGGTTATCAAAAATAGTAAGGAAATTAATAATTGCAAATAAACGTTGTACATTGTATGTAATTGAATTTTTGAAATGCATAAATCGCAAAATCGGAATTGTTATATTAATTAACAAGAATTATTATGTCAATTATTTAATTACACAATTATTAATATAATTATTAGCAAGAATTATCATATTAATTATAATGTAATAGTTATTATATATGTATTTATAATAATAGCTAAAACTATATTATATTAATTAATTATTAT